TTCTCGTGTCAATCATAAATTCCATCAACATATTATAGTCTTGTTTGATGTCATATCGGCTACTGTTAGCATTATATTAGACAACTTATCAAAACATTGTCCTTCAACGTTGGTGCTTCATGCCTCCACCTATTATAACTTACCTTAATTTTTGTATGGCTTCTTTTTATATTTTTCCTCCAGAGCCGTAAAATGTACTTATCTAGGACGTGTAAAACCCTTTTATGAATCAACACAATAATGACATGTCTACATAAAATCCCTCTGAACTCAAACAAATGACAATTACAATGAATATCACATTAACTTTCTTTAAAGTATACCACAAAAGGAACACGCTGATTACTATCTCCAAACCAAACATCTTTTAAAACTTGATACTCCTCATACGAATCACATTTTTCAAAAAAGATAATTTACAATAAATCTTCCCCACAATCTCTTCTTGAAACTCTTTATGTTTTTCAGTTGTGTATGCATTTTAAAATTGTTTCTTAATAGGGTAATTAGTTATGCATGGTATCCAAGATTTGAAAGATCTAAAATCAGTCTCCCTTTCTTTTTCCACTTTATCTTGCAATGCATTATCGTATTGTTCCACAAATTGTTTCAACGTTGTTTTGGAATTTACATATCCATAAAAAAATGCATGCATACTTTCACTACGTTGGGTAATAGACATGCCTGCCTAGAAAGTATCTTTAACAAATGCAGGCATCCAAAGTACTATTTCTTTGTACAATCCACATAACCATTCATTCTCGTGAAGGTTGTGCACATCAATGAATTTGTTCCACCGTTCTTCGAACTCTTCACATGTAAATGAATCATACACAATATTTACACAATATTTTGTAACTTAAACTTTATAGTTTCATATTCCTTATACCCTTTTAACATTTCAGGCAGTTTCTTCATTATATGCCACAAACACCACCTATGTTTTGTACCGGGGACAACAATCTCAATTACATTTTGCATGGTCTTATCTTGACCAATGATAATTCTTTTAGGAGCAAAATCTGCATTTAAGCCAAGAACGAAATACCCATACAAATGTCTCAGTGTCTTCATGGGAAATTAACCCACAACCTAATTACAATGTCGAATGTCCATGATGATCAACCCCCACAAAAGCAGCAAATGACATATCATACTTGTTTGTCAGATACATTGTGTCGAAGGTCACAACATCATTGAATTCTTTATATGTGGCCTTGCATCTAGCATCAACCCATAGCACATTATATAATCGATTCTCTTCACCTACATCAATCATGTACCAGAAATTTGAATTCTCCTTTTGCATTTTCATAAAATACCCGAGTACTGTCAAAGCATCTCAAACTCTAAGTTGTAACCTTCTAAATTTTTCAATGTAGTTCGAACAATCTTTTTATAGAAATGTCAAATTATCTACACCTCCTGCCTCAACTGAACATGACCGAAAATTTTTACATGGTCTAATCCTAACTAGATCATTAACTTCAAACCTCCTTTTCACATAAGGTTGTCGTTGGGTTTACTTTGAAATATCTTCTTTTCATTCGGACTTGTAAGATCATGGTTATGTTCAAGCATAATTGATTTAATTTTCCACTTGCATTCATCATTTAAAGCTATATTAATCTGACTCTTAGAATCAGTTTTAGCAACAGGTTGATTTTTTAAGGTATTTTTAGATTTACATCTCTCCTTTCCAGAACAAGAACATGCCACTGTCACATATCTCATCTCCCCATCATCTCCTTTCTTTGACGTACGTATCATTGCTTCAAACCCCATTTTATTACCATACCTTTTGTAATACTTCACCAGACTATCAACTGAATCAAACATCATTACAATATGAGGCTCCACTTCTTCCTCTACACATCCCATATCTTCTAATTCATTACATTCATTTTCTTGATTTAATGGTTTTATAATGGACAAAATTAGAATATACTAATACAACACATCATAAGAAACAATACGATATAGCAAATTTAAATTCATGTTAACGAAAAATTTAACGTTTCGAACACAATTTACCTCAACATCATTGAAATAAGGCAAATTGGACTCTTTCATATTCCATAATTTCATGCAAAACCAATACCAGTTTTCGCATTCACGAATCTGGTTCACAACAGTTGCCAACAAATATTGTCTATTAGTTATTTTGTATTGTAACATATATTCAATCCAAAATAAAATATGAACATATTCTAAATAAATGCATAAATGAAGTAAAAAATTCTTAAGTACCTCAACAAATATTTCTAACCTCAAAAAGGTTTGATCTCCCTTTCCACCCTAAACGATTCTCTCGGTAAAAAATTGGTGGCTTTCCTATGAAAATATTAGTGACTTTCTTGTCACGGTAGCTAATTGTTATGGCTATTGAGGAAGAAACCACCAATACCGTGAGGAAGACTAACAAGCTCTGACAATAACACACAGAAGAAAAGATGAGACGATGAAGCTGATGGTATTAGCTTTAAAATGAAGCTACAAATACAGTCTTTTTTTTTTTATTATTATTATTTCATCTAAAAAAATTGGCACTTATTTGCAAAAGCACATTAGACAAGCTATATCTTTTTTATTTGCATGAATGAAAAAAATTTGTAAATTAAAAAAAAAAAAATTATTTGCCTTACTATTCAATGGACGATCGTCTATCTGATACGTACGGTCGTTCATTGAAAATGGCCGCCTGTTCATATAATATGGACAAGTGTTCATTCTTATTCTTTGAAAAAATCATTTCTCCTTATTTTAAAAATACTGCAAGTCATAATGGACGGGCGTCCATTCGAGGTGGGTGCCCATCCATAGGAAATGGACTCTTGTTCATATAATATGGACGGGAGTCCATTGTTATTTTCGTTCAAAATTTCGTCCAAATTGGTGGACGACCATCCATTTGTAACGTGCAATCGTCCATCAAATATGGATGAGCATCTATAATTGTTAGACGACTGTTTATTAACGGAAGACGTGTTATAATGTCCAACGTGGCCGCGTCTGACTCGGGTGCCATATAAGTTGGTACAACAATTTGGTGAGATTAATCGGTGTCCGTAGCATTATTGAAATACATTAGTTTCGAACATTTGCTCATAAAATCAATGGATTTAATTACGATTGTCTAAGAGTGGACAATAGAGTTTTAATATAGTGTTAGGTTATTTTAATATAAATATGTTGAAGTTGATTTTTTTAGCCTCTATCAACAATAATTGGGTCAGGATGGGTGACTCTGAACCGTGATCTTGACCATGTGTGAAAAGGAAGCTTGAATGCTGAAAAAAAATATGGGCTTTGATTCCTGTAAAATAACAATTGATTGGGGTTAAAAAGAGCGTTTTGTAGGACTCGAACACAAAATATTTGGATAACTCACCTAGATGACTAAAGTGTTATTGTCTGACCACAAGACTAGTGATTACATTTTTACCTTTCTTATGCTCTGTACTCAACTTCTATCTTCTTCAGGCCCCACAACCATATTACATGTCCTAGTGGATCCTTACTCCAATTTATGAGTAAAGTTCTCCTTAGAGTTTAGAGTGAGACTATAAGCATATGACACTTGAAGTATTAGGGCATTCGTAAATAATCCTTATAACAAAATGCATGAAGTCTATATATAATCATCTCTCAATTACAACCTTATTTTTTTTTTTTTTTGAAAATGCCCAAAAAATAAAATAAAATTTATGAAAATTAATTCCTTAACCCATTGATGGCGAAGCATCTCATGTTGAAGTAAGAATATTGTGATACTAAAGATTAAATTACATATCTGATGTTGGTGCTAAATTGTTATGGTCTACCATCAATTTTGTGTAGTTAATTATATTTCATTTGTTATACAAATAACAAACTTCATATATAATATATGCCTTCATAAATAAACTTCTTAAAAACATTTACTTCATGGGTGATCCATAAGCCCATTTCCTCCTACTTTCGGGTCTATCCATCAAGACCCGACCCATTTATTCTCTAACTAACCCATTCCCGCCCAAATTGTAGTTTCCTTTCTCGAATAAAAACTAATTTTCTCTTCTTTTTATCTCAAATTTTACTTTCCAAATGATGTATCAACATATGTGACATTAATATTTCAGTCTTTTATGAAAAATAATAGTAGAAAACAATTTCAATCTCTTCTTTTTAGTTATTTTCTTTATAATATCCTTTCAATATTATAGACAGTAGATTAATATAGTCCTTATTTGGTGTGAAAGTTAAAAATTTCAATACACGCATCTTTAATCATTTTCATATGTATACATATTAGTTTCAAAATCTAAAGTATTTGAAATATAAAAACTAATATATATATATGCCTATTGTTGTAATCGAATTTTAATTGATACTTTTCTCTTAATAATAAAATGCTAGCATATTATATAAATTTGCATATAAAATTTGAATGAATTTTTTTATTAAGCATGAGAAGGCCTAAATTAGAAATTTTCGCCTTAAGCCTCTACTTTTTTTAAGACGGCCTTGATGTTATGATGATTCTCAATTTTTTTTTTTTTTTTTTTTTGATAACCAAAGTTGTATATGTCAGTTTATGCGTACCTTAACTAATCCCCAAAAACCTTAGAACTACCAGCTGAATAAAAGTTTCAATAGCTTCCTCTATTAGCAAACGAAGAGGGACTTGAACTCATAACCTCTTGAATAATACATCCAAGAGTCTTTATCGAACCATTCGGCCATCCAGAGATAGTTAAACGATGATTATCAATTAAAATCCTAAATATTTTAATAAGATATATTTTTGGAATATGAATACATGTATATTTTGATTGATAAAATTTATTATTTTGGGGCTTAAAAAGAATTTTGGTGGGCTCAAATAACACGGCTGAAAGGTGAGTGTAATTAGAAAAGAGATGGATTATAGTTAGTACTGTTTAACCCAGCCCACTGAGCCCAAACCAGCCCAAATTAAAATTACAGCTCCTCTTGCAAAAGAAACCACATTGCGTATGCACAGATTCTCCCAAAATTCGCATTTCCATCTCTAAACCCCTCTCTCTTTGCCCTAATTTGATCGGAAAAGAACCCTAACCCTAACATCTGTAACTGAAAATCTTCACTCGGATCAGCAAAAATGGTGTTGGCACAGTTAGGCGGGAGCATATCCCGAGCCATACAGCAGATGAGCAATGCGACCATCATCGACGAGAAGGTCCTTAATGATTGTTTAAACGAGATCACGCGAGCTCTCCTGCAATCCGATGTGCAATTCAAGCTCGTACGTGACATGCAGACCAATATCAAGAAGATCGTCAATCTCGACGACCTCGCCGCCGGTCACAACAAGCGCAAAATTATCCAGCAGGTACGATGCCGTTTCCTGACATCTGTTTTGCTTCAGTTCGTCGTCTATGAATTTTCTTATTTTGTTTTCATTGAAGGATTTTGAGTTTTTATGAGAAAAAAAAAAAAAACTTATATTGGTTTAATTATTGCAGATATTGAATTCTAGAATAATCTTAAAAAACAGGCACACAAATTTATAAACATTCACATTATCTTTGTCAATTTTGGTTGTTTTAATAGCTAAGCTTAATAATTTTCTTTTTTCTGAATTTGGGCTTAGAGTTAAAGAATTTTGAGATTATTAGCTATTTCTAGCATGGGGTTTACCAGTTATTTTAAGTTGCCTGTCAATATAATGAGAGTTCATTCAAATAATGAAAATTTTATAATATAAGTAGTGGTTCAACTGATTTATTGTGCCTTTGATGGGACACAGATTGTTGTGACTTGTGAGTTCTCCCTACTTTCTAGTTGTAGACTGACATCTATAGATTGCCGGTTTCTTTCATGAGGAATTCTCTGTTCTTTACGAAACCAATTAATTATGCTTTATTTCCTGTGGTGCCGGTTCTGTTATGCTAGTTTATGAGTAATTAATCTGAATTATATTTTATTTCTTGCTCTCCGTTATTCTTCACCAGGATTGTTGCTTTGTTTCCAGGCCATATTTAATGAGCTCTGTAAAATGTTGGATCCTGGGAAGCCTTCTTTCACTCCAAAGAAAGGGAAACCAAGTGTTATAATGTTTGTAGGTTTACAAGGTATGCTAGTTTTCTGATAAATTTTATCTAATTAAACTATGTGTTTAATTACCTGTTTATGGTCAAAAAAGTTGTCAGCACGTCAACTTTTTTGAAGTGTTTGTACTATAATGTTTAATTATTTGTGTGTATCTCTGTTTCCGCTGTTATCATGCTTCTGTTTATGCTAAGGGTTTTTTGTATGACAAAATGCAGGGTCTGGGAAAACCACAACATGTACAAAGTATGCATATTATCATCAGAAGAAGGGTTGGAAACCAGCTCTAGTCTGTGCTGATACATTCAGAGCTGGTGCTTTTGATCAGCTGAAGCAGAATGCAACCAAAGCAAAGATTCCATTCTATGGAAGGTACTCTTTTGGCTATCTATGAGCACTCAGAAACTTGATTGATTGCACAAGGTTGTAGATTCGATTGAGGATCATTGTTACCAAGATAGAAGGATAGAGAGATGCTTGGCTCTCATTTTTCTGAGGAAGACCTCTAGTTTCGTGCATTTTGAATCCTTAGTTAATTCCAGTTGCCAAATGCTGTTGTTTCCACTATCCTGCAAACGGCATTGAAGTGAATGGCTAGAAAATCTAAACGATGATAAAGTTTCGTATACCTTAGCGTTTGGAAACTTTGGTGGCTATTTCTTGGCTGACATGGCAGGGAGTGATGCTAAAAACAATTTAGTGATAATGCTACTGCAAACTGTCATAGATTTAGATTTGACATATGATCATTATGGTGGTATTATTGTGCTGTATGCCATTTCACATAATTTCTTGGTTTTAACTTACAGCTATACAGAGTCAGATCCTGTGAGAATTGCTGTAGAAGGTGTGGAGACATTCAAGAAGGAGAATTGTGATCTCATTATTGTTGATACTAGTGGGCGCCATAAACAGGAAGCTGCTCTTTTTGAAGAAATGCGTCAAGTTTCTGAAGCAACGGTATTGCATTGCTGATTTTACTTGCTCTTTATCTTGTGTCTGTTTCATAATAGGTGCTAATATGTCTCCATTTCTCTTTTGCGATGTGAATGTTTCAGAAACCAGATCTTGTTATATTTGTTATGGACAGCAGTATTGGTCAAGCTGCATTTGATCAGGCCCAAGCATTCAAGCAAAGTGTTTCAGTTGGAGCTGTAATTGTTACTAAAATGGATGGTCATGCAAAGGGTGGTGGTGCTCTTAGTGCGTAAGTTTCAAATCAATTGTTTAGACTTCATTTCACTTCTATGAAATTATATTGGTGGAAATTTTTATGTTAAGATATAAATTGTATTTTTACTGAATCTTGCAAGATTTAGGCGTGTCTTAGGATTAGGTAGGGACCGGTTTTCGTGGTTTTGTGTACAAGAGGCTCACCTCTATTGTTGTTGGAGTTGTGTGCACATTTAGTTAGTGGATTACGGATCATAGGATATGCTAGTTGCAACTTTCATAACATGCAGAAGATTACTTTCACAAAGTCATTATGCTTATTCTTTGGTATCTTGAAAACTGAATTTCGGTTAATATGTTCATTTTCCCTCCTTTTACATTATGTTGTGAACATATCTTGCTTCAACCTTTTTCCAGCGCACTTAAAGTTAGAAAGTTATTAATGCTAGGGAGACATGGTAATAGAAACTTTTTCAATTGGGACTGTGTAATTAGTCACTGAGAGATGTTCCTCCCTTTTCTTCTCCAGTGGAATTAAAGTCGGTTTCCTACATTTCACCATAATAAATTGTCAACTAAACAAGAGCCTTCATCCTGATGGCATGGGTTTTTGTCTTTTGCTCTATGTCGTCTATGCTTTACCAGAAAAGAAAAGGTGAAAATCAAATAGTTAAGAGTACAAGTTATGATTTGCTTAAGTTCTTATCAAAAATATGTTCTGGTTAACCTATGTACCAACCAGTCCTGGACTCTTCTTGAATATTTAAACTGTAAATGTTTATTGTTAGATATTTTTTATTGCATTTTTTAGCGGCTCTTTTTTACATGTGGATACTGAAACACTTTGTTTGCTACAAATTAGGGAGTCTTAAACCGCTCTAAAGTTTAAAACCCCTTAAGCTGTAAACTTTTGGTGCCATTCTTGCGTATTTTCCTTCTGTGCCTGCGTTGTGTTTTTATTAATGGCCAAATTTTGGCAAATTCTCTTATTTGCTTATTGTTTTGTGACAGAAAACATTTTCCCTCTTTTTTTCCTTTTATTAATAGAAAATGAAGAAAACAACCATGATAACAATTAAGGAGATGTCTCGGATGTTTAATGAGAAAATTTTTAAGACTTGAACTATGCTTCATCTTTGTATTCTGTGACTCTAATGCTACTTGATTGTATGTGCAGTGTTGCTGCGACAAAGAGTCCTGTAATATTTATCGGTACTGGAGAACATATGGATGAGTTTGAAGTATTTGATGTCAAACCATTTGTCAGCCGTCTTTTAGGTATGCTTCTAATGTTTCCAGTCTAGACATTTCTGTGTTAGGTGTTCTTCAACTGCTGACATGTACAGAAATGATGCTTGCAATCCTGACCTGTATTTTCATTTTTATTGTGTTTCCAACTAGGCATGGGTGACTGGTCTGGATTTATGGACAAAATTCATGAAGTTGTTCCAATGGATCAACAGCCTGAGCTTCTGCAGAAGCTTTCAGAAGGGAACTTTACATTGAGGATTATGTATGAGCAGTTTCAGAACATACTTAAAATGGGTCCCATTGGTCAGGTTATTATCTTACTACTTTGGTTGACCTTTTATCTGTATTTCTAGACTTCTCATGTTCTTTTGTCTGAAGTGATGAACGTTCTGATTTAGTCTAAAAGATAATAAAACACCAATGTTATATTCCGCTTCACCTAATACTAGTTGTAAAATCTCCCTTTTGTCAAATTACAACTTGTCCAAATTTTTTGTGCGTTCAATGTGCAAGTCCATTTCCAAGCAACTAGTTAATATCAGCGAAGATTTGGGACTTATGATTTTAAGATGAGCCCTGTAGGCATAGTCATGCTGATGTATGGTGTGTCACTGGTTGTTTAAGATCTATTTGAATAGCAATTCTTTTGGAAAAAGAATGTCTACCTGCTAACTGGATTCTATTGTTGAAATTTTTTAATTTGGTTCGAAATTTTCTTTTGGTTGGTTCTTCTCTGTAGGTTTTCTCTATGCTTCCAGGATTTAGTGCTGAATTAATGCCGAAAGGTCGTGAAAAGGAAAGCCAGGCAAAGATCAAGCGTTACATGACCATGATGGATTCAATGACAAATGAAGGCAAGCCACACTGCTTTAATTGCTCTCTTTCAATATATCATAGTTCTTTCTTTTTATTATTAATTGTTAATTGGTTATGTGGTACAGAATTGGATAGTTCAAATCCTAAGCTCATGAATGATTCCCGAATTATGCGGATAGCCCGAGGATCTGGTCGCCAAGTAAGAGAAGTAATGGAGATGATGGAAGAGTACAAGCGACTTGCCAAGATATGGAGCAAAATGAAGGGTCTTAAGATTCCTAAGAAGGGCGAGATGAGTGCTTTGTCCCGAAATATGAATGCTCAACACATGAGCAAAGTCCTGCCCCAACAGATGTTGAAACAGATTGGTGGAGTGGGCGGTTTACAGAGCTTGATGAAGCAAATGGGTTCCGCGAAAGATATGATGGGCATGTTTGGTGGTGGCGACAACTAGAGTAAATGACTACAACTCCAGTGGTGAGAGCTTGAGTACAGTTCCAACAGCAACTGGTAAGGATTTGCCTGGTGAGAAGGCATACAAGCATCCATGCGCCCGAGTCATTGATTTTTGCTACTTAACTGATTTTCCAGTAATTTACATTTCCTTGGGGGGTCAGTGTTTTTGTTTTAGATATGTTTTCCCCCTTTTTGTATGTAATTTAGTTGGAAAAGAAAAGTGGGTAAAAACAGATTCATGAGGATGAGAATTTGTAATTTTTTCAGATCAATAAACATGTATTTTATATCTTAATTTAATGTTTTATTCTGGAGAGACCTTGTTAAATTAGTAGAAAAAACATAGCATATTCAAGAGGTCATTTTATTTTACAAGATAAGTCTGTCTGTTTTCTATGTTTTTGTATTTTGGCCCGCTTTCTTCTATTTTATATTTTCTTTTAAAGCAAACCTTAGATGATGAGGAGTAATATTAAATCTACAATCTAATGTTATAATATTCTCTTGCGAGCTCAATGTGGTGGTTGAGATGACAATTGTCATGTCAACTCTCACCTATTAAATTAAATGACTTTAATTAAACACAAATAGTTGTTTTTAGAGACGAACTGTCATTTCTTCATAAAAAAATGTATGTTCCTTATAAAAGAATATTTGTTCATTCTTTGTGAATGAAACGGTCGTTCATGTTTAAGAATGATTGTTCATGTTAATCAAAGAAGTTAATTAATGGGATAATATAAACTCTACTGTCACATTAGAATTGTAAGAGAATGTTGTGAGATTGAGTTACAGCGATAATATTTTTTTGATAAGATAGCAAAGGAAAATAGAAGTATGCCTTCGATTTTTTTATTTTTTTTTTTTTCACTTATTATACCCTGGCCTTTTAGTAGAAGTCCCCTACTGGGCCAAACAAGTTACGTTTTAAATAACATAGAGGTATTCGCATATAAATTTTTGATTAAAATATAAAAACATCTACAAGTACTTTATGCAAGAAATGCTTTCAAAATCGTTTTTACGAACACATCTTTTTTAAAAGCACAACAAAGGGTTTATTCATAATCTCCTCAAAGATCTTAAAAAAAAAAAAAAAAAAAAAAAAAAAAAAAAAAAATCTCTTTAGTTTCAGTCACAATATTCTGACCCTAAAAACATCTTGAAATAGAAATTTTATAATAATTATTAGGAGGTTTTTTGTGTTCCTGAAAAGCTAAGTGAACTTTAAATAAAACAATATTGCAAGAGTTTTTTAAATAAAACCCTTAAATTAAAAAACCACCGTCGCTTGTAGAAATAAATTAATGAATAGAATAACCACTGAAATTCTTATCCGACACGATAGCTTCAAACTCTTAGAAAATTAATTGAGATACGTGTAAATTGACCTGACGCCTTATCATTCAAAAAAAAAAAAAAAATCCATAAAGACAAGAAATAGCTAGCTCATCACGAATATAGTTCAGATTTGGAATGTTTAATGCAAGATTTTAGGTCCACATAACGATATTTTAATAACATAAAACAGTAAGAATTTTGCTAATTATTAGAAGAATATTGTATTGGCAATGGTACTCATACCCTAGTATGAGCCTTTGTTTATGTTCCCACACTGTTAAGACTTTTGCTCATATAACAGGCGAAATAATACGCATGGATTATTTCCTTTATAATACACATGGATTTTAAAATTGAAATGATACAACAGCATCCTCCTTATATGTACTTTACATATACAACTTTCAAAACTATGTACAATGCCGCTAAATTTACCGGGAACTGAAGTTCTGCTAAACTGTTAAAATCATCAACCTGTTATCTTTGTAAGAATCTGCTTAGGACAGTTTTTCTCAGAGGCGTTTCCTCTTCCTCTTCATCTTCATCCGACTTTACATACATATTTAGAGCACAACGAATTACTGTGTTCACCTGCATCCTCAATCTGGCATTGTCAATGAAAATATCTGTTACCATCTTCCTCAACACATCATCACTTCTCTGATCGCTGCCATTTGTAGTGCGAGTTTCCTCCAGTTTTGCCATCGACTTTTCTATGTCTTGTGCAAGGAGCTGTGCCTGTTCAAGTTTATTAAAAAAAAAAAAAAAAAATGTAAACAAGCAGGGCACCAAGATGCACAGTGATTATAAGTTGCAATGAGAAACTTACCTTATAATGAAAATATAAATGAATGTTCATGCATGTCTAGTCACTGATAAAAGTATTGCATTGAGCAACTAATGGCTCAAGGAAAGCATTTTCAAAAAGAGCCAATATAAGAATTCGACCAGGGGTCCATTATTGAAGCAACTACCCTTGCTAATAGTTTATTATCTTACAATCAAACCTAATCTAGGATGATAGCACTGATATAGAAATGTATATAAATGCCATATAACAACATATACACACCAAAGAAACCAAATACGAAGTGAAACCTTTGACAGTAGAACCAAGAGAGTAGAAGAAGAAAGACTGTTTTAACTACAAATCAACAGCTTCAGCAGCCAACATTCACAAACAAGAGCTCCAGTGATATATTAAATAAGCAAAAGAATTAACTAATTCAAAGCATTGAATGATACCTCTGCAAGGAGGAGTCCGATTCTATTGTCAGATGTTGTCAAGAGATCTATAGCATCAGATGGCGATGAAGTGTCCACAGTCAATCTATCTTCCTCTTCACTCAGGAAATTAACACTACATTCTTGAAGCCGATTGCAAAGAATCTCACATTCATGCAGCAATTTTGAATTCGCAAGATTTGCAAGTTCCATTCTTTGCTTTTCCTTTTGAAGAACCCTCTGAAAAAACACACACAACAATACACTGAATTCATTTTCATAAATGAAATCATATAAAACAACTTCTAAAATAGCGGGTGCAACCTTATATAGAAGAAAATCTAAAAGGACAAGAAAGCAGACATCAATCCCAAAAAATCAGATGTTCCAAAAACTAAAAGGCAAGAACATGGAAAAAGGAAGACCAAGATGCCAGAGAATCAACATCTGTAACGACTTCATCTTGGCATATACTAAGAACTCTCCTTTCTCTCAAACACCCTCCAATTCCACCCCAACCAGAGATGTTATAAGTTCTACATGATCACCTAGTTAGGTGTTTTCCTCTCTTTTCCCCCCAGCTGCAACAGCAATCTAATAGCTCACATGTGACTTTTGACATGACAGTGTAAATTCATGAATTTTGCACCTCATTTGATGAAGTAGATAAAACTATCCAGTTAAATAAAAATTATAATTTTGTCTTTTTACCCAAAATCATTTGGAACTGGCAGGAACAAGTGAGACCACTGACAAGCCATCAGTAGATGAACCATTCTCCCTAGTCTATATTGCTAATTACTCGAGTGCTTCACTCACTTAACCTTTACATAGTGGTGTTAGTGTCTTGTTGTGGCATCCATCCTTTAGGTACTGTAACCTCTCCCTGTTGGGTTGTTCAATATGTACAAACTTTCTGGGATACTGAGCTATTGGTTGGAGTTTTTTTCTAACTGATCCTTCTAGGTCGTTAAGTCCAAGCAAGATTTACAAGTAAAGATGGCCATATGACCATGACTCCAAAAGTGGCTTGGAAAGAGAAGAAACAAATATTACATCACCATATTAGAAACAAGAAGAATATCTGATTTTAATAAACTGCAGCATGTAAAGAGAAACAATTCAAGAACTTAAAACTCTAAAAAGATTTAAAGGAAAAAAAAGAAAAAAAAAAAGGTGGAAAGATAATGAAGATTGACATAAGGATCCTGTAAAAAAATCAGATTAAACTGGAAAGGGCACCCCACATTAGAAAGTCTCCCAGTTTTCCATCCCCAACTGATTTAACAAATTTATAGGAAATAGCTCCAATTGACAATAAATTATATTTCTCCCACAGGAGACAAAGTATAACCAGACCCCAGTTTCATGAAGGAAATAGTTACCTCTACTTCTAACTTTTCTTTCAACATGCGGCTAAGCTCCTGCTTCAATTCTGACTGAGAGCTTCGAAGTGATTTGACTTCTTTAACAAGAACCTTTACATCTGCTTTTGATTTCACCTCGAACTCTTCCTGATGTTTATGCAGGTTCTCAAGCTGTTCTCTAGTTGCATCCAACTGCTGCAGCAACATTTCATTCTCCTGAATAATTGATATCTTTGATGACTCGATGCGTGCTCTTTCAGCCTGGAGCATTTACACACATCATTTATCAAAGCTTATGAGTAGCTGAATACTACTGGAACAATACAAAATAACATAGAAAACAGACCAGTTCATATTCCAATTTCTGCTCTGTCGCCATGCACTTTTTCTGAAGTTCATCCAAATCCCACTGCATTTGAGTAAATTTTTCTTTTTCAATTAAAGCTGCTTGCTGCATGTTTTCTTTGCAATTGTCCCTTGTGGTTTCAAGTTCCACTTCCAAATCTTTTACCTATAAAGGGAAATCCTCAAAAATCAGTTCTACCCAGTGCATTCAAGTTTTTATTTGATAACAGTGTAAAGTATTCCTTTAGTTTCTTGTGTAGATAAAGACCAAACATCATCATAACATATTATGATAATGAGAACGTTTCAATAATACCAAATACTGAATCAGCCAGAAGTTCGTCCATCAATAAAACCACTTCTCAAATCTAGAAATGTCATGCTAATTCATAGCTGGATGATGTATGATTCAGCATTCTTAGAACGATGCATAATGAATAACTACATTACATTGAATCTGCGGGATACCAGCAGCAAGAAATTGATGCACCCTAGGATCTGTTCAATTTATAGATTGTTCGACTCAACAAAAATGAATCAGAAAAAACACTAAGCAACAAAAAGCACTGTAAAATCCATCTGTGATGCTTCTGTCACTGCCTTGCTATCATAAAACTCAATAAGAGATAAAATATGGTATTAATACAGACAAAGAAATAAAGCTAATTTGATGCCCACTTCAACATTGAGAAACTGCCATAAACCTTTGAGCAACACAACCATAACTGATATGGTTATGTAATAAATCAACAGATATTTACCTACAACACAAGCAATCAGAGACCAGGATAACATCTATATTCTAATTAACTATTCATGAGAATACCTTTGTCGTCAAAAATTGTCTTACAGTGACTTCCTGATTTAATCTAGCTAATAGATCTTCCATGTCTGTTTTTGCAGTAGCTAGTCTTTGCTGCATGGTATTAAGAACCCTGTTTAATTTGAGACGCTGATCTGACGGTAAAGCAACAAGCGAGTTCCTCACAAATAAAGAATCTGAGCCAACAAAAGCATCCATGGCTCCAGAGGCTTCACTACCTTCAGCATGGTCAAGGAAGCCATCACCAAACAAATTAGACACCCCAAAATTTGATATTTCACTAGCTCTTACAGAACTAAGGTCACTCCCAACACTCTCAGAGGACAGTCTTCGAACATGGCCATCCAGTTTGAGATACTCTGGCTCCCGCAAAAGCTCTGCTCCATCCCAATGAAGAGATTTGAGTTTAGCTGTATTTTCAGTTAATTTATCTTGACCTGCAATACTGCTTTCTCTTGCAGCAAGCACTTTTTGCCTAGAAAATTTTCCTAAGTTCTCCATCATAGAGTTCCGATTAAACATGCCATACTTAACAGTTTTCTCTACTGGAGCATTTATATTCTGTTCAGAAGTTGAATACTCAAGACCAAGGTCACCAGAACTGTTTCTCCCATTCCTAGGTGTTCCTAACTCTGATCTCTCATCAGGAGAATCATTACCATGATCTGAAGCAACTGACAAATTACCAGCAAGCACAGAAGCATCTGAGTTGGTAGGTAACAAAAATGATGAAACCTCGCCACTAATAGAAGAATGTGCATCTGAGTTTTGCTGTTCATTAAATGCTGAAAAGGGCAGAAATTCAAGAAAAACATATAAGGTTGATGGATAATATCAATTGAGAAATTATATTCCACTTTCTAAATATTGTAGCCATTTTATCTTCAAGGTTTAAATTAATGCATTGTTATTAAAGATAACAGGAGCACATACAAGACCTTGCAGCAGCTTCTAGCTCAAGAAATGTTGCTACAGGAGCACTTCTAGATATGTCAATATCAGATAAAAGTTTTTCCATCCAATCTTCCAAAGCACACCTTCGCTGCAATAAACTAACCATTTTGAGAATGTTACTACTGTCATTTGAAAAAACTAAAACTCATTTCTAGAATCTCATGAGAAGATAATGTATCAAATACCAGAAAAAGGCCTTATACAAGCATCAGTTTTCCTTGCATCGAAAGATAATATCGAAAAGAAAAGGCTGAACTGAATGCTCAGACAAATCAGAATAGAACAAAATTAGGAAAAAAATATACCGCCCCAAAAAAAATTACACCATGTTTGGCAACCAATGAATTGGAGCTTCTAATTGAAATAGAACTGGAAATGCCAGATGACCTCCGAGTTCATTCATACTTGCAAATGCAACCTTAGATTTTTATTAAGAACCCAAATAAAAATGTTCATAGTGGTTTCCCTGTAGCATAGAGAATTTTAAAACTAGAAGTCTCTTTGCTAATGATAATGTTACACAGAGAAAGAAGACAAAAGAAGACGTTGGCACAGCACAATTTTTCCTATCGACAGAAACTTAGAATCAACTACAAATTTAGCATGGTAATTTTTACTATGATACCTAATGAGTACAGCTACTGTTACATTTCTGAATCTTGGAGAATCCTGAAATAAATTAGTCACTAGCTATCATGCAGATTCATAAGCAAGATGCTGCAATGAAAACATTAACATACCTCCTCCAGCAGTGTCCTGCTTTTCAATCTCAATATCCTCTTCGGCGGAGCTTGGGGAAGTTCTTTCTTGGGAAATATCTTTTTAAGCTACAGAACACACAAATGTGCGAATGAAATGACACCACAGTTTTTATTAAGATTAAAAAGTCACCGAACAAAGAATCTACATTATTATTCAATTCCAAAAAAGAAGGTAGCCCACCACAGGAGCTAGGAAAATAAATAATACACATTCAACAATGCTACTTACTTCAGAGAGTAACTTTAAGAAATCACTGTATCTTCTCAATACCCCTCGGGTGCTGGTGAACCCTTCAGGTGATTGTATACCAATTTGAACTCTATAAAACTGTAATTAAAATAGAAACAGATTAAAGGCCAAAAGGGAAGCCCAAAAAAAAGAAAAAAAAAAAAAAAAGGAACAGAGAATATACATACCGCCACAGGATCTGAACCTCTTGAGTTTGGTAGGAGAACCCAAGAAGGAACTGTGACGCAATAACTCCATCCTGTATGAGGATCATGCGGCCAAACAGAGTCCTGCCCATCCTACATTCAGAGACTAGAGAACATTATAAAAGAAAACAAATTAAGTAAAATGATCAAAGAAATGACCACCTATGCACTAGTAAAGCTAAAATCCTTAAACATTGAAAAAGAATGAATTGAGTCACTGCAAAGTCCAAGCCAAGAGTAACAAGACTGATCTAAACAAACCTCCAATAGAATGGGAAAAGAATACACAGTCGTAAAATTCCTCATATGTGTATTGACATTCAATATTCCAAAGCAAAAACATGGCAATTTTAAGTGTTTGCAGATCATATCTCTGGTGATGCTAACCAAACAAACTCAATGTACCATCTGAGAGAACCAAATCGGAAATGAAGGAGACTAACACCTAATGAAAATAAAATATAAAAGCATTGACTATGGCATCTCTTCTAGCCATGATCCACTATTTTTGTGTTGTGCTCCTTGGCATGTACTAACATAAGAAGAAACATGAGCAAGTAAATATGGGAATCATAATAGAGGGCAGCTAAAAGGCATCAATCTTCAATATCCATACAACATAGCAAAACAAACCAACTCCACAATTTGAAATGTTCCAATCCACCAGCACAACAATTTCTTATAGAAAATAAAATCTCTCCAGTAATGTATTTAACTAAATCTTTAGATGATTGCATATTATTTACAGATGAGCAAGTGGATTTGCGAAAACCAAAAAAACAAATGGGGAAAACTTCTTATTCCTCACACTTTCCTTCTTTTTGCATCTATATCTATATAATGAACACCGACATCTCTATAAACATCTTAAATTCCCTTAAACAAATAACAAAGATCATATCCTAAAATATAGATTGAAGTAACACTCCTTCAACCAAAATTCAAGCATAGACAAAAATTAACAAAACATAGACTTCACACACCCCTCTCTCCTAGAAAATAATTCTTAACTTTAATATCCAAGCTTCTACATATCTGCCGAATCAATATCACCTTTTATTTTACACTAGTTACGAATCTATCATACAGATACAATATTTAAACGTTTACAGTGATGAACTTTAGACTGCTATTACTTCTAAAATACAAAATTTAAGGTCATCGAGAACAGTATGCACTTCGCGTCTGATTTACTCCTAACCATTTAAATTGTTAATGGCACATATATTAACCAATAATTTGTGTAAAATAATTGGCCACTTCAAAACAATAAGTAAGCTCATTACTTCAAAACAATAAATAAGCTCATTACTTCAGCTTAAACAATCATTAGAATTATTATGAGTAAATTTCAGAGCAAAAACCACCCAATCAAACAAACAAAAAATCACAATTCAAACTAACCAATAAAACCCTGAATGATAAAAAAATTACAAAAAAAAAAACACAACTTCATATAAAAACAGGCTCAAATTGGAAAAAGAAAGAGTACCCATTTGCGAGGAGGAGTACTCCAGTCCATCCCAAGAGGCAAAGGCGACGTGCCGTCGTGACGATGCCTTGGCGGACTCCGGCGATTGGCCTTCACGGCTTTACTTTTATTGCTATTACTTTTATCAACATCAGTATTGTAACAATCATCATCATCATCATCATCATGATACCTTGATGACGTACGGTCATGATGATGATGAATCATGAGATCGCCGAACTCCCCGTAATCGAAGAGCGAGAGATCTTGCGCGTATGCATTCATTGTTTTGTTTTTGCTTTTTGCTTTTTGGTTTTTTGTTCGAAGGGAAAGATTCGAGTTGCGTTGATCTATTTGGGTTGGTTGCGTAAGTATCAGATGTGTTTAAACTAAACTAAATATTATTTTAACCCCATAGGTTTTGATAATATCATTATGGCGTTAAGATTTTCGTTAATTTACAGAATAAATTTATCGATTAGTTTAGAAGTGTTAATTACAATAATCGCCCTTAGATATAATCAAATTCAATAACCCCTCATAGTTATAGTAGTAACATCAATTATCTTATCGTCAAGATTTTTGTTTTTATAATAAATGGTAGAGACTAGAGAGGCAATTACATAAATATTCATTAACTTATCATATTATAAATTAGTTATTTAACTTTGGTACTTAAAGTTCAGAGGATATTGCACTTACTTCCAATATTAGGTTATACTTTTCGATAAAAAGTCTATAATATTATTGTTGTCTTATTCAAGTATTATCAGGAATAAATAAAATCTAAAAAATAAAAATAAAAAGTTGAATCTTTTAAATATTTTATGTCGTCCACTCAGTTTTTAGCTTTGATGATTTTTTGTATTTATAATTGTGATGAGTGATACTTAGATTATGTTTTGATCATTTCATGATTGTGAAATTAAACAAGTTTTATAATGTGCTAAAAATTGTCCATATTATATTTGGATATCAACCATTACTCTTATGAAAAAAAACTGATTTTGTTTAGGTGTGCCGTATATTTTTTACTTTTTTTTAAATCTTATTCATTTCTAATAACATGGGAATAAGATAACAAGGAATATTATAGACTTTTAATTAAAAAAATTCACCTAACTAGGCTAAACTGTTTGTTTACGACATGCAGAAGAGTAATGTTATCCCCATGCGGACCAAGACATAATTTTTACTTGTTCAAATAATATTTGAAATAAGTGAATATACTCCAAACGTTAAGAATGAAAGTGTAAATAACCTTATTATGAATCATAATGGCTTAGGAGTATTTATGTTATTTCTCAAATCACATAAAAAAAAACTTTTCCGTTTGTTTAATTATTTTCCCCTATCCTATTAATACTATTTCCAAAATACAAATTTACTTCCCTATTTTGAAAATGTTATTATATTTCATTCAACTTTTTAAACCACCTAAGTTTATTAATTTAACTAAACACCCTCCGAAAAAAAGTTTAGAAATTAACAAAAACACCCCCACCCACCCACATTTGTTAGCTCTGGCCACCACCTCTGGAAGGTAGTCGGAATCTGGTATAATAGCGTACTACCAAATGGATTTGGCTGGTTGTGCGTCTATCTATCATTTACTGGCCAAATCTTTGGTCATAGCTAGTCTTCAATGGCCATCGTTGATGGTCAACGATGGCCATTGAAGACTAGCTATGGATCTGGCTGAAAAAGGTTATCTCGGAGCACAACCGACCAGATCCAGTCGATTGTGCACAATAATCTAGATTCCAACGGTGGTGGCCGGAATCTGACAACTGTGTGTGGTGGGGGTGTTTTTGTCATTTTACAAATCTTTTATATATTAGGGTGTTAAGAAATTAACAAACCTATGGGGTTATTTGTTAATTTTTAAATGATACCTCGTAATAATGACCCAACTTTACTTGCTAATAATATTTCAAAACTACTACTCAAAATAATAAAACAAACACACCCATTATTTAATTAAACTTTAGAGTATCATGAAAAACCACTTAAAAGATTACCTTAAAATAATAAGAAAGAAGAATTCGGGCCTTGAGCTAAAACCACATATTTTAAAATACTCCCTTTCGAGTTATAATTTACAAAGCCATAATCCCATCTCCTTAAAGAATTCTAAAAGCCAGATGGTTCATTGGTTTGCATCACAAACGTCCTTTTCCTCTAGTAATTTAAAAGGCGTTACATAATAATGGGTTAGTTTGATATGAGTCAAAAAATTTATAGAAAATTTTATATTTTTAATAATATGGGGTTACTCCTATATTAGAAAAAAATTTGGGGTCTTAAATTTTTTCTCTGAAACAAACTGTTCTGACACGTAACTGTTGCAAACTTTGGGATCCATAATTATTTTTATAAGGGTTTGGCCTTTAAATAATAACTTGAGAATTTAGATAAACACATAATTAATTTAATTAAAAGAAGAAAAACTAAACATTAAGTAAGGGACCGCCGGTAACTTCATGCTTATACTTTTAAAACAATTTTTTTTTTTTTTTTTCTGCGCTACCCAAGCCAACTTATGCACATCAATTAATTTCTAAGACTCGTTAAATATCTTATAAGTCCAATGTTTCAACAGCGACAGATCCATAATTTTTGTTGAGGGAAGCCTCCGTTGCTCCGTCATTATTTACTAAACAATTAATAAAAACTTTAAAAAATCATCAAACCTTAAACAAAGAAAATAATACAATATAAAGAACTTAAGAAAAATGAATGTAATAATGCAATACTTTCCTACTTAAATAAATTCACGAGAAGTAAAATTTTGAGTTAATGTGTTCAGTAAACATTGAGCAAAATCTTCATTTAATTTTTTATTTTTGGCTTTCAAAGATTATAATATAAATTTTCATAATTTTGACCAAACGTAACTTAAGCTAAAGTCAACCAAAATTTAAATTAAGTCAACATTGTGTTGGCTTTTAATATGAATTAATAAAAAAAAAGAATTTTTTTTATATAAACATAAATAGTAACTCAAATTTCTTTATTTATTTTTAGTAGCAGAACAGTGACGTTTGAAATGTAGGAAAGTAGTGGGTAAAAAGTGAAGAATAACATCTTTTAAAATATAGTTAAGGTTTTAATTTGGGAAAGTAAATTCATTCTTAAATATAAAACACAAAATAAACTTAAAAGATACATGTTTTTTTTCCCTTAAATTAGAATAAAAAAGGTCAAAAAAAAAAAAAAGACATAATTCAACCATAAAATAAATTAAATTGAAATGAGTATTACACATATAAAACTGATAAAACAGAAAACAGAGCTAATTGTGATATCTTAATTAATGAAAGCTTTAACAATTTTGGACTTCAAAAGTTTTAAGATTGAATAGCATGAGAAAGAGAATGAGAGAGTAAAGAATTTTGTGGATAAAATTATAAAAAGCAAGTGGAGCCAGAAGAAGAGTGGAGAGTGTTTTAAACTTTTAATATAATGTGAGCTTGGAATATATATATTAATAACAAGTTTTTTGTAGGCCTAAATATATGTATAATAATTCTCATTTTTTAAAAATCTAAGGGTAGACCTAGGTATATATATTAATAACAATTTTTGTGAGTCTATATATTAATAATTTAAAAAAAAAAAAAAAAAAACTTGAGGGTAGGCCCAGGCCTATCCTCAAAGGGGTTGGATCTACCTATGTGTTCCATGGTAAGCCACAAATGTGTGATGGTCCCAGCTCCCAAAGTGGTTCGAATCCAAAAAGTTAATAAAATGAGAAAACATTTTTTATCGTCGGGCCAACCCCTTAGGGTTCCATATAACTGGTTAATTGCTTTTTAATTTTTGTTTATGAACATTGCTTTTTAATTTTTGTTTATGAACATTAAGGATGTACATACTCTAGGCCATGAAGAAACCCTAGTTTTTAACATCCGCCCAAGCCTACGTAGGCTTTACACTGTCGTTTGGTTGTCTTGATAAAGAATTTTTTTTTTTTCTTTTAATTTTACATGATGTACGAGTGTTGAAATAATTTTTCAAAAGGTTATTAATAATTTTTCCATATGAATGGTAGCTTGATAATATATTGAGAGCTTTCTGAAATTTTATTTCATGGAACATGTCCTAATAAAGTTTTTCTAGGAGGTTCTCGTGTCGTAATATTGGTTGTATGTTTTGTTTTAAAAGTTCATATAATATAATCGGGCTCGGCCGGGCCTGGCACAGGAATATGGCCAACCGGGTCTAACTCGGGCCAGTTTTTATTTATTTTTTATTTTTTTATTTTTTAAAGAGACTGCTGGAAATTTCACGAGAATGAAATTTGGTTTTTGTTTCAGTAGCAACAAGACAATAAAAAACAGTAAAGACTATTAGAGAGGCTACAGCTACAAAACAATACAAAATCTTAAAAAAACTTACCGTATCTAACAATTAAACTTGTGGTCCATTCTCAAAGATTATCTAAGTTTGATTCTATTTGCATTTCAGCATATCCTTAACAGATTCAAACTCCAATTTCAGACCATTGATTTATCATCATCTTTGACTAATAATGGGTGCGTTTGGCATATTGTTTTTATCCATATTCCCAATCCTATTCTTCAAATGTTATTTGGCACGTTATTCACAAAATATTATTTTACTTTTTAATTATTTGTAGACCCCATAAGTTTATTAATTTCATTAAATACCCCCAAAAAAAGTTTAAAAACTAACAAAAACACCCCTACCACCAATACTTTCCAGATTCCAGCAACCACCGTCGGTGGTAGTCGGAATCTGTCACAGCAGTCACACGACCACCGAAAATGGTCGGTAATGGCCAGATCTGGCCTTTTCCGGCCAGATCCTTCCCCGCCAGATCCGACCGGTATGTGTGGTTATCCAATTTTCAGGCCAGATTCCGGCGGTGGTGGCCGAAATCTGACACTGCAGGTGATAGGGGTGTTTTTATCATTTTACAATATTTTAATATATTGGGGTGTTTATTAAATTAGCAAACCTTGGAGGCTTTTTCATAAATTTTTAAATTTTATCTCGTAATACTCCTCTATCCAACTATCCATAAAATCTTATCCAAAATAATAAATCAAACGCACCCAATAGTTTGTTTATAGTATGAAGGTGATTATGAAGTACCGATCTACATTAGTGTTACATAATTTTTATTTTTATTTTATGATTTGGGTGTTCGGACCAACTTACACGCACCTTGACTAGTTATTGGGACTTATTGAATACCTTATAAGGTCAATATTTCTAGATAAGTCGCAAATGTAATAGATAACCCTAAGGTCTGGATCGAACCTAGGAAGTCAATAAAGAGAGCAAACAACCTTGACCACCAAGCCAACCTCTTTGGGTAAATGTTACCTGAAGTCGTTCAATCTAGTTTTCATTATACTCCTTATTGATGAAACAATCTTTCGAGAACGCTTGTCTTTTTCATAATATTAATTTCTAGCTAAATCATCCAAATTCTATATCATTTTTCTTAGTTTGTTTTAAATTTTTCATTTGCTTTTTCTTCCCTTTATGATAGGACGACTCAATTTTAGATAGATGGTGGAAACTACCAAGAGGAGTATGTACACTAGGGGCTGAGGGAATTTCTCGTGGAACTGTTAAGTAATGGGTAAAGATGATGAGAGGACACTCTCTCTCCTGAGCCAATCGCACATAATATGAAGAGATGAAATCTATATATATATACACTAATAATCTTTAACTATCATTGGATGATCAAGTAGTTCGATTGAGACTCTTTCGTGTGTTACTTAAGAGATCTTGAGTTCGAGTCCTTAGTTAAGGTGTGCGTAAGCTGATTTGGACACCCCTGGTCATAAAATATATATATATGAGACTAAATGATTCGCAAACACCATATGCATGTTGATGTGTAAACAATTTTTGGTATCTCTCTCGCACTATTTGTCTACGTCAAAGAAATACTCATACCTAGGGATGAAAACCAAGCCAAGTCGCTAGCGAATGGCTTGAGCACGGCTCGGTTTTGGCTCAAATTTGACTTGACTAACGAGTTCGAGTTCGAGTTCAAGTAGCTTGAATAATCTCATAAGTTGAGTTCGATCATTGTACAAAAAACTCAAAAAGCTTGCTTAAGCTTGAAAAGCTCGACTAAAACTCAATTAACAAAGCTCGAATTCGACTTTTAGGTACTTAGTTCAAGTTTAAACTCAATTCATTAAGCTTGAACTCGAACTTAAACTCGGTACTATAGTAATCAAGTCGAGTTCGAGTACCCAGATACTCGACTTGACTCAACTCGATTTCACCCCTACTCATACCTCTCAAAGCATGACAATTACTATGCTAACGCCATGGCATGTGTCATAAAATATATTTTTCTTTCTTTTAAGTAAAATTTTTAGATTCATCTAGAGTCTATATACATGAATAAGGGAAAACATGTGTACGAATAATGCATGTTCATGTTGTATAACATGTAAGGTAGAGAGCAGACATACAAGGATTGGGGACCATGCATGCTAGCTACCTATCTCATCCATCCCTTCTAAAAGATCTTTTATCACATGTAACCATGTGATGGCATGGGCTCTTTTCTTAGTACTGTTTCCCAATTTTCTAATATTTCTATTAAATATCAAGAAAATTTTATTATTAATTATTTTCACACCATATAATATTTAACTTTACATCTTCTCACCCCCACCATTCTCCAGCCTTCATCTTCTTATCGTCATATATATAATGCTGTTAAGATGTTATTTGTGTGTGGTCCTTCAAACTACAGCTCTATATATAGAAGGATTTGCCTTCTATCTCTCTAGTTCTTCTTCTTCTTCATTTGTGTGTTCTGCATAAAGATGAGTAAATTATGGAGAGCTAGCTAGAGATAATATATATATATATATATATGTTTATATCCAAGTCCTGTCATGCTTTTCCACAGCTTTCTTGAACTTCTTACTCAGTTTATCTTCGCTCGAGAAGTTCAAGAAAGCTGTGGGAAGATATGGCGAACGTCAAGGGCTTTTCTTTGTTTATTTGCAGCACGCAATTCTCTTAAACAATGTCAATTCAGCTGGTCTGGTGATTCAATGGAAATTGGCTTGTTGTACTGTTTTCTTGATAATTTTCTTTGATTTATTTTCCAATTTTTTTGTATATTTTTAAATAGTTTCTGAAAGTAGTACAAAACATCAAAGCAGTGTGTTAACCACAGCATTTTAACATATAGCATTCACAGCTGAAATTTACAAATTATACAACAGATAGATATTGAATTCTACATTGGAAAATATTATTGACATATTTCTTTTTTTCTTTCGCTGTATATATCAATTGAGATTTGAGTCTTTGAACCCAAGTTGCGCCCCAAGCCATTAGGCCGAGGGCACAACCGCGCTCCTTCCTCCCCCCCCCCCCCCCCCCCCCCCCCCCCCCCCCCCAAAAAAAAAATCCTATGATTTTACAACGGTGGGTAGAAAATGGCCTCCTGTGTGCTTGCGTTTACGGTTGGCCCAAATCTGAGTTCTCAATAACGCTTCCCGCGACAATCGATGGTGTTTGAAACATAATCTATTAATCTTGTTGTGCGATTACGTTCTCCTGTTTCGTTGTATATATCAATTGAGATTCGCAGAAAACTGGCAGGTATTATCAGATAGATGAAGCAATTAATTAATCAATTAATATCAGTTTTATTGTATTTTATTTTTACTGCACCTCTGTATTTGGAGGAAGAACTAAACAGGTTTAATTTAATTTAATTTTCTTTTCTCCTATGTATGTTCTGAATATATGTTGTATGTTCTGAATATATGTTGTATATTCTGAATTGCAGGGCTTTCATAAGTAGAAATTCTGATTGTTGATGTAAGATGCATGCAATTTGAAGTTGATGAGATATTACCTGTACATTCTGAGCATGGACACAGATTGGCCAACTGTTTGTTTCAGTGTTTGCAGAGAAGATTCCTCTACTTTTCACCCTCTCATTGTCATTCATCAGTTCTTTCTTTTGGTTTCTTCTGCCTTTTATTTTTTAATAATTCAGAACCTCAGCTGTAATCTCATCAATTGTAAGAATAATCATGATTTTCTCTGCTTAATGCTTATTCTGAAAATCTAGGGGACCCTCTAATCAGACCATAACTGGAAATTTCATATATAATTTCATGAGTTTCCACTGTAATTTTTAGCTGTCAAATATTACTTTCTGCTTCCAGTTGTTACTTATGACTGGCCTGTAGCAAAAAAGCCTGGAGAAGATTAATTATGTGTGTTTCAGCAACAGGCCCCCCGGCCCCTACACCACCAAACGCCTTGGAGCTCCGATTCCTTGCTGTTGTGTTGTGTTTGCTTGTGATAATTCTAAAGATCCTCTTCCTGCAGGCATTGGGTCCAATTATTATTTTTCTGCTCTAAAATAAGACAATAGAATCGCTTTCATATATTGAGCTCAAGGCCGGCTAGATTAGGCGTCGGGGAACAATGTCCCTGATGATGGTGGCCCGAAGAGTTGCTGGCATGGAATTTCGCGTCAGGGAAGGCTTGCCCCGCATGCAGGAATAGTGCATTCTGATGCTGGGTCTGCATCGGTGCAAGTTGTTATTCCAGTAGTATTTGTAACTGTTATCCATGTAAGAGTAATATTACTCATATAAAGTTTGTATACAAAACAATGTTATGAAACCCAGACCAAGTCAAGGGGCTGGTTCCCGGGTTTTGCTTGGTTCGCGGATCAGTCACGTCAGCATGTCTAGCAAACACACCCTCGCAAAATTAAATCAGTCCCTATAGGTTTAAAATCCAGCAAACACATCCTTGTGATCTAGGCAAGAAACCGCAAAGTAACCAGGTGGCCAAGATGACGATTAGTGGCCAACCAAAGTTCAGAATGATGGAGGTTTTGATGTGGGATGGTTGGTGCCAGAATTAGAGATTTGGTGACCTAGTTAGCTACCGAACCGATCAAACCGACGGTTCGTTACTATTACGTCGGTCCAATGCTGATGCAATCCGAGTCATAAGCTAAAACCATGTTTTGAGTGTTTTCGGACTGGGAAGGGAGGCAATTCTAGGTCGAACTTGATAGTCCGGTCCAGGTTTAAGAACACTGATACAAAGTCAAATGGCATTGTCCTTTAATTAATATGTTATATATTTTCATTTAATGAGTTTAATATATATTTTCACTCCCCTAATGATTATGTTATATTATATCACTTTAAATACTAGATTTTTTATGCAAATAGGTACTATTATTCTTAAATGTAACGTGGCAATAATCCTAAATATGTTGAAACATATCATTAACTGTTGACAAATTCTTGGTTGGATTTTAATAACTTGAAGCCGTCAACAATTACGCAAAAAAATCGAAAGGTAAAAAAATAAAAAATCAACCATTCGATCAATTCATTATTGCAAAGTTAATTAACAAATTTTTTTTTTTTTTTTTCTTGTGGTATAAATGAATTCTATAATAAATAGCCAAGGTACAATCTCTTTCAGTTATTATTCTAGTTCTAATGGCACAGGGTACAAGTAGTCTATAGCGACCGAATTCAGTTTAAATAACCCAACAGAATCCTGCATTCTGACAAGCAAAACACAGAACAGAGAAGAAAGAAAGATGATTATTCCAGTTCGTTGCTTCACCTGTGGCAAGGTAAATTTTTTATATCTCTGTCTCTGTGTGTGTTTGTATTTGTTTTTGGTTTTGATTAATTTGTTTTTTAGGTTATTGGAAACAAATGGGACACATATCTTGATCTTCTACAGGCAGACTACACTGAAGGGTGATGATTTAATTCCATTGTTTATTTATTATTTTGTATTTGTTTTTCCCCTTTTTATTATTTACTTTCCCTTTTTTTTTTTTCAATAAATATAATTGTTTTCGGTGATAGATTATTACGATTCAAATTCAACGTATTAAAGTGTTTGTTCGTGAATAAATTTTGTGCATTGTTTCATAATTTCAGTGAATTGCTAATTGTTATTCTAATGATCTTAATTGAGTCCATGTCGCTAAGAATGGGCTTGGCATGTGAGATAATAACTATATGGCTAGGTACTCTCCTCTAACAAGTCGGTTTTTAAAGGTGAGTTTTACCCATTTGTGTACCATCCTCTGGGAGGTGGGTTGTGGTTCTCAGCACAGATGGGGCGATGTGGAGGTATAAAGTAAGTTTTGTCGGTATATCGAGCCGTTGTGGACTCCAATTCCAAGTTTATAGCTGTTAACCTCATTGTTGATGTGTGAAACCTCACAAGTGAATATATGTAGTTTATAGCATTTGTGAGAGAAAGTCGTGAAAAGTATTTGTCAACCTATCTTTATTTACATATTTTGAGTAGACCACTAACTTCTTGTTGTATGCAGGGACGCGCTTGATGCATTGGGTTTGGTTCGTTATTGCTGTAGGCGAATGCTAATGACTCATGTGGACATCATTGAAAAGCTTCTAACCTACAATGGTATAATCTCTCTTTCCCTTTCTCTTTGTATCTGAATATATATGTATGTATTTCAGTGATTTCACAGCTGTGGGGTCTTTGATTTCTCTTGTCATTTCCTTGTACTGATTTTGGCGATTGATGCAGCTATGGAGAGGTGTGATACCGGCTGAGCCAGGCGATATTGAGTGAGCTGATGTTTGTTTTCATATATCCTGTTCCTGTCGCACTTTTAGGACAACTTCTTTACTGTAGTTCATCGAAAAGCTTCTGAACTATAATAGCAATCTCTCTTTATTACCTTTTCTCTTTGTATCTATATATTTATGTAGTTCAATGATTTCACAGTTTGTGTGGTTTGATTACTCGTGATTTCTTTTCACTGATTTTCCAGATTGCTGCAGCTCCAGAGAAGTCCGAGACCGGCTGGGGAAGTTTTAAGTTTGTTTTTTCAGATATAATGTACATTTTGCTCTTGTTTGTCAGCTTTTAATACGAGTAATTGCCGACGTTTTATTTTTTGCATCGTTGTAGTTGTACTGTGAAGCAATTCGTCAATTTTGCGAAGCTTGATTCTGTCGAAAAACTCGATTTTCCTGCAATATATCCATGTGGACAGTTTCTGTTTTTTTTTTTTTTAATCACCGGAGTGTTCAGGTCAACTTATATGCACCTCAACTAATCTTCCAAGACCCTGAAACTGTCGATCAGATAAGAGTCTCAGTAACCACCCCTATTAGCGCCCCAATAGTCACCCCAGTTTCTTTGTTTTCTCTCTCTAGCATTATTAGGAATTTGGTACATGGGATTTGGTTGTGCTTATAGTATAGGTGGTGGTTTCAGGCCATGGATTATTATTCTGGCAAAAGATTGAGATAATGTTTTCTTTCATGAAAGTAAATTAATATACTGTTTGGATCTATTTTCTTCCAAATCTTTACTTTGATGGATGTCTAATGGAAAAAAGTGTTGATGGGAGTTCAATTTTTTGAGTTCATTTTCTTTCAATTAGAGCTCATAAATCTTAAATCACTTCTGCCAGTTATAATGTGGATAAATGAAGCTAAATATATGTATTATCTCTAATTTATAGTGGTTTTTAATTGAAGGGTGGCTAGAGAATTATTCTGTTTGGGTGAGAATTGGGAAATATGATTTTGACTCTTCAGGATAAAGGAAGTTTATTTATTTTTATGATTGAGCTGTCTGGTCCAGTTTATGTGCACTTTAATTAATCCCCCCGGACCTTAGAACTATCAGTCGAGTAAGAGTTTCAATAGTTATCTTTACTAGCAATCGAGAAAGGACTTGAACTCGAGACCTCTTAAATAATATATCCAAGAGTTCTTATTAAACCATACGTCACCTAGAGGTAGTTAAGGAAATTTAAGTGACATCAAGTTATACAAATCATTCTGTATCACGATAATAAATCTAAATACCATTTGCAAATAAATATCCCGGATAATTCATTTTTCTCTTATAACCATATAGAATAATACTACTCATCCTAAATGTTGTGTTCCCTTGTGTGACTGATGGATAAATTAGTGGTTGAGGTGTTAAATGATATATCAACAACTTATGAAACGACACATCGTTTGGGGTAGAAAATTTGGGATTTATTTGGGAAGGTTAATATTACATTGATTTTGATCTCTACATTATAAATATTTGAGAATATTTTAATATAAAGTTAATTACAATAATCCTTCCAACGTCAACAAAAACTCAACCATAGTTAAGCTTTGAGTATTAGAAATAAACGGTTAAGGCATAATTATGTAAATATTTGTATACTCATAATAGTGTAAGTCTTAACGGTTCATTACCAATTCACTTCATAGAAAAAATAATAATAATAATAATTATTATTATTATTTCAAAAACCTCAAAAGAATTTTTATTGTTTAATCAAACCGCAGAAGAGTCAATAAATTAACCCTTTTATTTATAATAAAACTTATGTTTTAATAGCAAAATTTGTAGACAAACTTATAGCAAAACAACTAAATTAAACGAGTTGAAATAGCACCAAAAATACTAATTTTCACCATAAATTTATGTAATTGTTTTAATTAGCATATTATATTTTTCAGAGAGATGACATAATAAATTTTAAAATCATTATCATTTGGTTAAAATCCAAATAAACTTCATCAAAAACTCCTTTTAAAATTTTCAAAAATCTATCATCAAGGAGAAAAAAGAAAAAAAGAAAAAAACAAATCCACGTATATTTTAACAAATCTAAAATTAGGTAAATTATATTATTTAACCCTAATTTTGGATAAGATTTTTGAAATAGTATTGTTAAGTTGAGTTGAATTATTATTACGAGAATATGATTTGAATAAAATGTGTTTGGTAGATTATTTTGACTTTGCTATTTGAGTTGAATAAATTGTTGAATATTTGTTTGGTATATTTTTTTTTTTTTTTTTTTTTATAAATGACCTATTGATACAATATTTGGGTGCAATTTTTTTAAATAATTTATTATTATAACCTAAAAACTTATCAATTTATATTTTAATAATATTAAATATTTGATTGGTAATTTCGTAACCACTAAATTAAAATCAAATTTTCCATATTAATTTCAAGTACTAATCCAATAGTTTAAAAACACCACATTAATACATATATGACAAAACTACCAATTATCATCCCTTAAAATCGTTTGTACACCTATACTCAATTAACGACTACGATATGATCATATGTGATATCCACATTTCAATCATTATGTTATCCCGTAGAGTCGTCATGTCGTCTATAATACGTTATTGTGGTTGACTCGATCCCTCTCTATTTCTGCCCCGTTTTGACCATTAAAATATAATGACTGAGCTGTACGCCGAAATAGTGCAAATCGGCCGAAATGAGCTTCGCGAGAGGTTGAATGCAGGTGGAAGAGAGAGTTGTAGTTGTGCTGGGTTTATGTGTTTGAATGTAGGTGGAAGAGACAGTTGTAGTAGTGGTAGGAAGAAGACGAACTGGTGAAAAAAGAAGGAGAAAGAAGGAAAAGAGAAAAGCACTTGTAGATGGCAGGTGGAAGAGAGAGTTGCAGTGGTGGTTGGAACTGAAGAAATAAAGAAGAAGAAGAAGAAATAAATAAAAAAGAAAGAAGGAAAAGAGGAAAAAACTTGCGGATGGCAGGTGGAAGAGAGAGTTGTTGCGGTGGTTGGAAGAAGAAGGGCCGAAAAAATAAAGAAGAACAAGAAGAAAGAAATAAAAAAGAATGAAGGAAAAGATAAAAAAAAACTGCAGATGGCAAGCCCCACAAACAGAATGGTCAAAAATGTCAGGAATCCAATTTTTGGGATACATTTCCCTGATTAATAAAACAAAGAGCAATACTAGTTTTACAAAGACACACATACAAAGGGGGTATATAAAAATAATCTCTACTTTTGATTTTCATGATTTCTCTTTTTCTGTTTTTTCTTTATTTTTTTTCTTTCGGATGATGTCACTTTGTAACTCTCTTTGTATGAGTCTTTATAAGGATAACATTTTTCTTAAAACAAATACACATTCAGAAAATTGGAGCCCAAATAGTATCATAAATAGTAAGTCAAACGCTACCCTAAAGTATCTTACAATGTAGCCAAACTCAATTTTCTAATTTGTTAAAGTTCGAAATTGCCCCCAGTAACAATTTCATAAACCTTAAATCAAAACTCACTATCTAAATCTTTAAACTATACCAAATCTTCGTTTTCCCAATTGAAGGAGGTGTTATTGAATGATTTTGTTCACATTTTGAAAGCTCCACAAAGAGAGAAAATGTACAATATGTTGCTAGAAACTTGTAAACATTTAATTTTTTTTGTAACTTGTCAAACGTATGTTTAGGAAACATGTAAATTTAAAGTATTTTTTTGTTAGATAGTTGTTTTGATCTGTTAATTGAATTTATATTTCTCCGGGCATGATGAAAATGGAAGGTTATAGGCATTTGTGGAGGTGAATTGATAGGCTGTATTGGACTTATCGATCAAAAAACAATCAAGAGGTTGAAGACGACATCTATCTTATACCCTTTATCAACAAGTATTGAACATTACAGTGACCAATATGAGCCCAATAGAAAGTATCAAACAATTGGACAAAATGCTTAATGTCCAATACTCATCCTATTTATAGGTATCGAAAATTTCTTGATTTTTCTGAAAAACCAACCAATAGTCTAATATCACCCAAAACGGCATTTTAGTCGATTTTTAACTATCCCCTTTGCCTTATTTCACTAGAAAACGCAATTAACAACAACACATTTCACATAAAAATCAACCCCTCAACAATTTTAAATCAATAAAATCCCTAAACCCAACCAAAAACACAACGTANAGCCAAACGCTACCCTAAAGTATCTTACAATGTAGCCAAACTCAATTTTCTAATTTGTTAAAGTTCGAAATTGCCCCCAGTAACAATTTCATAAACCTTAAATCAAAACTCACTATCTAAATCTTTAAACTATACCAAATCTTCGTTTTCCCAATTGAAGGAGGTGTTATTGAATGATTTTGTTCACATTTTGAAAGCTCCACAAAGAGAGAAAATGTACAATATGTTGCTAGAAACTTGTAAACATTTAATTTTTTTTGTAACTTGTCAAACGTATGTTTAGGAAACATGTAAATTTAAAGTATTTTTTTGTTAGATAGTTGTTTTGATCTGTTAATTGAATTTATATTTCTCCGGGCATGATGAAAATGGAAGGTTATAGGCATTTGTGGAGGTGAATTGATAGGCTGTATTGGACTTATCGATCAAAAAACAATCAAGAGGTTGAAGACGACATCTATCTTATACCCTTTATCAACAAGTATTGAACATTACAGTGACCAATATGAGCCCAATAGAAAGTATCAAACAATTGGACAAAATGCTTAATGTCCAATACTCATCCTATTTATAGGTATCGAAAATTTCTTGATTTTTCTGAAAAACCGACCAATAGTCTAATATCACCCAAAACGGCATTTTAGTCGATTTTTAACTATCCCCTTTGCCTTATTTCACTAGAAAACGCAATTAACAACAACACATTTCACATAAAAATCAACCCCTCAACAATTTTAAATCAATAAAATCCCTAAACCCAACCAAAAACACAACGTATAAACCCTAACCAAACCAAATTCATTTACACATGTCCTAGTCACAACAATCAACAAGCAATAAAATCAATTCCCCAATTAACAAACATCAAAATAACTTCAAATTATCACAATAACATCAGCCCAATCAACATAGTTCAAAAAATTATCAAAAAAAACTTACATACAAATCGCACAATGCCATGGGTTTAGGGTTTCAATTTTGAATGATTTTAGAGGAGGGAATTGGTTTTCTTGGGCTATCAATTGTGAAGAGAATGGAGATTGGGTTTTTAAATATGGGGACAATTTCGTCCAATAAATTTGTGAGGGTTTGGTGTGGTTAGATGGTGAGATCATCAATTAGGGTTAAATATGTAATTTCACATAAAATGTGACAATGTCAACGAAGTTCACCCTATTATTCTATTAACTTAAATAAAAAATGGAAGGTCCAGATTCAATAATTACAGGTGGCTCCACTCACAACCACTCATCAAAATCAACTAGGAAAACTCATGTCTCTAAACAGAAAAAGAAAATAAAATAAATTTATAAATAAAATAAATACAGGGAATGGACCCAAAGTTCATGTCCAACTAGCAGTGAATTTACGCTCCTATCCTCATTCAATATAAATAGAGTCAGATTTATCTCCAATAAAAGGCCTGAAACAAAAGGAAGCTTATAAAGTGGTAGCCCTAGCCCTCGGTCAATTCTGGTCTGGTCCATTAGGGTTTTTTTTTTTTTGTTTTTGTTTTCCCAGAGCTCTAAACCTTCAAGCTCAAGCCCATTAACTCCTTCTTCTACCTCCAATTTTCCCCTGTAACCAAAATTCAAATTTTTATTTTTATTTTTGATTTTTCTTCCAAATTCCCCAGAAATTTTCAATTCGGAAACCCTAGATTCGAGTTTTCTTAGCGTTTCTCGGCCTTTCTCTCGCCCTTTACTTCTTTAGATCCGTCAGTAAAGGTGAGCTTCTCTGTCTCTGTATGTGTATTCGATTTTTAGTAGTTTTCTTGTTTTTTATTGCTATTTTCGTGCTCTTTGGGATTTTTTTTTTTAGATCTGGTTTTGATTTTTTTCTCGTTTGATCTTAATACTTCTGGGTTTGGTTCGAAATATTCTATTTTTGGATTAATTTTGAGCTTTTTAGCTTAATTATGTATCCTTCGTTGTTAGTTGTTGTGTTTGGGGTTTTGTTTTCGGCGTTTTGTTTCTTGGTTTGGTTCATACTCCTTCTTGTTTGAATTTTTTGTTATAGAGTTCTTCACTTTATGCTAATTTATGATAATTTTGTGTAGTTATACTAGGTCCATGTTTTCTAGTGTTTTATAATCGTGAGCTGTCCTGTTGGAAGGTTAGCTCGGTGTAATACTTGACTAATTTTGTGTAAAATCTAAATTTATTATCAATAGCCGAGGTACAACTGTTTTCAGCTATGATTCTCGTTCTTAAAGCACAGGGTACAAGTAGTGTGAAGCAGGCCTGAGGTGTGTGTTTAGAGGAGCTCTGTTGCCCTTTTTGTAGATGATTGTTTATTAGTTATGTTTCACAAGTAGTAGACTGAATATATGATGGGCGTCTTTCTGTCCTTAATGGCCCAGGTTTTCCTGGTGGCTTGTTAAGTTCACCAAGTAGGTGAATTTTATCCTTTGTAGCTTGAGAGTGTTGTCTAGTGTAGGGCAATTAGCACCCAACTTCATCTGGAAAGAACTTAGATTGCTTTTTGCAAATTGTGCTGTGTAAATTGAATCCATTCTTGTAGTGGTTTTTTCTATTTTCTAATTATTACCGTGCTTAGTTTATGGTTGAAGGAGTTTATAATATGCAGGAAGTATTTTTTAGCTATACAAATTATTAGTTCATTATGTGTGATACAGGGTCCGTGTCTTCCTAGTGGATCTAACTGCCAATTTATGTAGATTTTGCTTCTATTATCATCCCTTTTAAAGTTTCCAGGTTTTGGGCAAGCATTCAGTTTAGTTGTTTTCTAGCGCTGATGGAACTGTTGCAAGGTGCACTTAATCCTGTGATTCAATTCTTGTGATGAATTTTCTCTGCTGTCTTTTAAGGGGTGATTATCATTGTAAAAAGAATATGTAATTTAAAAAGGCATAACTTATTCTCTAGAGTAATATCCCTTTAAATTATATCTCTTCTTAAAGTTGTTTGGATGACACTTATTGTGAATTTTGTCATGGGATTTGTAATTGAGTGGGTGTAATGTAGGAGTGGATTTCTGATCAACTTTCTAAGTTTTTTGTCATTAACATACATTTCTACATTTCCTATTAAAAAAAAAAAAAAAAAAAAAAAAAATTGAGTAGATCTAACGTATGAAATTAAAATAGTAGTTGTAACATGTTGCATAGCCTTTTTTTTTTCATTCCAAAACAACTACTGAACTGTTATTGTGCATTTAAGCATATGGAATACAATTTCAATTGGGAGGTTTCTATGTTTTACTTTGGGATATGAATTACAGTGATAAAGATTATGACTATCTTCTAGATATGAGACAATTGTCTAATAGGAAGTACAGCCTTCCTCTTCGAACATTTAGAAAGTCTACCTTGTATATGAATAGCCAAGGATGTTGGTGAACTTTGAACCAGCTTGGCTGCTTATTGCTTGAAAATTTATAATATCTGTCTTTCATTTGTATCTGTGAAATTTGTTTGATACTGTATTGCTTTGTTATGTTTCTATTACTTTGTCTACAAGAAGTTTTCAATAGTCTACTTCAGTTGTTATTTGTAATAATTGAAGCTTTTAATGCTGCAGTCTTCTTCTTTGCTGGAGTCTCCTATTGAGATGGATTCCCCTATTGCAGCTGTGATGCCTACTACACCTATTGATAACAATGAACCACCTGGTTCAGAAACTCAGCCTAATAAGCGTAGGAGAAAGAAGTCTATTGTGTGGGAATACTTCACTGTAGAAACTGTTGGAGCTGGATGTACTAGGGCCTGCTGCAAGCAATGCAAGAAATCATTTGCTTACATTACCGGTTCAAAGCTAGCTGGAACCAGCCACCTCAAACGACATATTACCATGGGAATATGCCCAGTAAGCCGCCAGAAAAATCAACAATCTCCATATACTCCAAATTCCAAAACAGGGAATGCCACTGATCCTCCCAAAAGACGCTACAGATCACCTGCTGGAATTGCTAGCATCCCTTTCAATCAGGATCGCTGCAGCCATGAAATAGCTAAGATGATCATAATGCATGATTATCCCCCGCACATTGTTGAACATTCTGGTTTTGTTGATTTCGTTCATACTCTTCAACCCCAGTTTAATGTGGTCAGCTTCAACACCATCCAAGGGGATTGTGTGGCAATGTACCTGAGAGAGAAGCAAAGCCTTTTGAATTTTATCAGTGAAATTCCTGGACGTGTGAACCTTACATTGGATTTGTGGACTTCAAATCAAACTGTTGGCTATGCAGTCCTAACAGGGTACTTCATTGATGGTGATTGGAATTTGCATCGTCGGATTCTTAATGTTGTTATGGTTCCTTCACCAGATTCAGATGTTGCCTTTAATCAAGCTCTTGTGACTTGCCTATCTGACTGGCATCTGGAGAGCAAGTTGCTGACCCTCACACTTGATCGCTCCTTTTCAAATGAAACCATAAATCAACATCTCAGAGGCTGCCTTCCTGTCAAGAATCCACTTATGTTGAATGGTCAGTTGTTAATAGGGAATTGCTATGCTCGCGTTATAAGTCGTTTGGCACAGGCTGCAATAGGAGCAACCGGGGCAGCTGTCAAGAAAATCCGTGATAGTGTAAAGTATGTCAAAACTTCAGATGCTCATGAAGAGAAGTTTCTTGAGCTGAAGGAACAACTTCGAGTGCCCAGCACAAAAGAACTCTTCATTGACGACCAAACTAAATGGAACACAACTTTCCATATGCTGGTGGCTGCTAATGAGCTAAAGCAAGTATTTTCTTGTTTAGAAACCTATGATCCCGATTACCACATAGTCCCCCCATCGATGGATGAGTGGAAGCAGGTAGAAATTCTCTGCATATACTTGAGGTCTTTCTTTGATGCAGCCAACATAGTAACTTCTCCGATATACCCAACTGCCAGTGCCTTCTACCATGAAGTGTCAAAAATTCAATTAGAGTTGACACAAGCAGCCATGAGTGAAGATCCCTTTGTCAGCTATCTGACCAGACCTTTGAAAGAAAAGTTCAATGAATATTGGAGAGAATGCTTTCTTGTTTTGGCGATTGCTGTTGTTATCGATCCAAGGTTCAAAATGAAGCTCATTGAGTTCAGTTTCTCTAGGATATATGGTGAGGATGCTGAGACGTGGATCAAGGTTGTTGATGATGGCATTCATGAACTCTTTGATGAATATCTTGTGCATGCACTTCCTCCTCCAGATGCTTTTATGGAAGAAACAAATGAGGTCCTCCCAAAAACTGAAACTATTCAAGAACAAATCCCCCAAGAAGACGCTCAACTAGAAGATATCCCTGAAGAAGGAACCTATCAGGAAGGACATCCTCAAGAAGGGAACTATCAAGGACACTATCAAGAAGGAAATCCTCAAGAAGCACACTATCAAGAAGGAAATCCTCAAGAAGGGACCTATCAAGAAGGAAATACTCAAGAAGTGATCTATCAAGAAGGAAATACCCAAGAAGTGATCTATCAAGAAGGAAATACTCAAGAAGGGACCTATCAAGAAGGGACCCATCAAGGACTTTCTGAAGAATTACCGCATAGCTCTCAAGAAATGCCTCTTATTACTATTGGAGATGGGCTCTCAGATTTTGAAGTCTACATCTGTGAGCTTGCAAGTACTCAGCCATCGAAATCAGAATTAGATCAGTATCTTGAAGAATCACTGTTGCCTCGTGCACAAGAGTTTGATATTTTGGATTGGTGGAAACTAAACCAACTGAAGTATCCAACTCTTTCCAAGATGGCTTCTGATATTTTGTCAATACCATTGTCTACAGTTGCTCCTGATTCTGTGTTCGACACTACTAGCAAGAAGATGGATGCCTACCGGACTTCACTGCGTCCAGTGACATTGGAGGCTCTGATTTGTGCCAAGGATTGGTTCCAGTATGCATCATTATCATCTGATTTCACTAATTCAATTGTGAAAATGGAATTTTAGGGGTTTAGGTTTTGTTTTCCTCTTACAGGATAGATGGTTTTGCTCCCAAGGTTTTTAGGTGTTGGTTGATAGCAGTTGTCATTTAGTTTTTGTTTTCCTTTTTTCCTACTGTGATCTTTGTTATTATGAAATATTTTTAGTGTAGGATACAATTATGCTGCTTTAGGAATTGCTGATTTGCTAGTGTTCATGAATGCAGTGAATTAAAGTTCAAGTTAATGTCATATCTTGCTAACTTCAGCTATCCTTGGCCCTGAATTTAGTTTTCGGCTATTATTACGTTCTTTTATCTCTTATAGAAAGATTGGCAGGTATAAACTTGGAATATTCAAGCATAAAATAATGCTATACATATGGATTCTATATATGAATAAATTATTGAAAGAGTAAATAAAATAGTGACTTTGATGTGATTACTCAAAGGGAGTGGTTCGAAAAATCTCTGACGTGGATATTCAAATGGTGTTGAGTTTGAATCCTCTTTCTTTCTCAATTGTTAACGTATAATTTTTAAAACACTATTTAACTATCTTATTTAATGTGAACAGTAAAAACACTTGTTTTTTTAATATTTACATCGTCAAATTCAAAATCAAATCTTATTCTATTTAATTCAAAATATATAATTACCTTTTACAATAAAAATTTATAAATTAACAAAAATGTTCTTATCCACCTAAGCCACTGCGAGCCTCGAGAAACCATCATTGGCACCAATGTCAGAACGATGGCTGTTTTTTGGCTTGATCTATCATATATTTAGTTAGAAATTATTAGATCTATGATGATCATATCTTGGACGTCGTTAACTACCAGATTTTGGCAGTTTGACGACTGCATCATTGTCCGATCATATCAGCATATATATATATATATATTTTAAAACTTCTAATTAAGGCAGTTTAAAAAATAATGGGACAAATAGAACCACCATTTTGAAAATTATTGTTGGGCTCGTACCAGGGAATTTAAAGTGGCCCAAATATGAGGCAACCCAACTCAAAACCTAACAAAATCGGACTTGACCCAACTTCCTTGCAAAAGTTAAGTTTATAACTAAAGGAACCAAAACAAAATCCAAACTCGCAACATTTCTCAATCATCCTTTACTTTGCTTCTTCAAGAAACTAAAATATAAACATAAAAGCAAAACTTCAAAACAAAAACACAAAAAAACACTTCCAAAGAAAGAAAGAAAGAATCACTTCCTGTAGCTCTTAAAGCTATCCTTTTCTCTCTCTTCACAATACTTCCTTATATAAACACCTCCCAATTCTCCTTCTTCTTCAATTCACAATCACACGGAGAAAAAAAAAAAAAAAAAAAATATCCCAATATTATCATACATGTCTCTAGCTCATCGACCTCGTGTTATTGTTAATGGCGTCCAAAGAATGAGAACTTTCCATTACTTCAGGTGCCAAAATTGCCGACGAGTCACTCGTCTCTCCTCAACTATAAACCCCTTTGACCTCTTTTGCCCACATTGCTCTCATGAGCTTCTTCACGAGCTCGACCTTTCCAGGCCGCGCTTCTTCTCTCCTAATTTTCCCAGCCATGTCGCGCCCGCGCCCCCGTCGCGCTTACTAGACTCTTTGGCTCTCACCCTCGACCCGTCAACACGACAGGAACGAAACAGAAACATTGAAAGAAGAACGAGATGGGTACTCGAATCCGATCACCGAAACAACAGCACCGAAGACAACCTCCAGTCGTGGATATCTCTCCATTTCGACAACCCAACTCGCCCGCCGAGACCTGTTACAATGCCGGAACTCGAGCCTCGAGATAATAATAATAATAATAATAATGATAATATCAATTATGCCGACGTTGAGATGGACTCAATGCATCAGATCATTGAAGAAATGACTCAAAACGATCGACCAGGGCCGCCTCCGGCAGCACGTGCAGTGATCGACGCGCTGCCGAGAGTGAGAATCTCGGAGTATCATTTGATGCAATCTTGTCCAGTTTGCAAAGAAGAGTTCGAGGTTGAAGGGGAGGTTAGAGAGCTGCCATGCAAGCATTTATATCATTCTGAGTGCATAATCCCGTGGCTGAGGCTTCACAATACGTGTCCTGTGTGTCGCTACGAGGTGAAAGATCGAGATGAAGATCAAGATGAAGAGAATGACAATCGGAATGAGAATAATGGGTACAGGTTCGAAGAAGAGCTAGCTAATAATATAGATTGGCTATGGAGTCAGCTAACGTGTTTGAGACCAGTTCGTGCGTTATCGGAATGGAGTCGACGATACTTTGATTTTACGGAGAGCAGAGCGACAGCGTCTGGTGGAGGTCAGCTCTTCAATCTTCTTGCTCTCTATTTTCTTATGCTCTTATTTTCTATTGTTATTATGCATGCATTGTACTAGTTTACAGTAGTTGTTACAGTGACTCGCACGAGGTGAGAAGCACGAGCTCCCTAACTGCACTAACCTGGAGATGGCTCAGACGATCTCAGCAAAATGCCTCAATTTCATGTCAAGGATCCATATCATCATGGCTATACCCCTTTGAAAGATTGACAATTATCTCAGTTAGCCCCATCAAGGTCGTCAACACACACCCAGCTGGCCAAATAAAGCCCAAAATGTTGTGAGCCAAGTTAGTGTCGGATAAACATGTGGAAGTGACCCCACGACGAATACCTTGCCCCGTTTGGATATCATTTCTCGAGCTGAAGCGTGCCGAGCCGGGCAGGCACAAGCTTTACAACCACAAAATCTTTATGTCTTTCTCTTTGTTTGGCTAGACAATTTGAATCGAGCCAACTTTTGTGCGTCCCCTTGACTCCTTTGATGACCTAACTATCCACCCAGGAAGCATGGCCTATCTGCCCCAAACGTAGGTAACTGATTCTACTTTCTTAAGCTAAGAACTTTTTAACTTAAGAGAGTAGGGGACAAACTATATAGGCCAAAAATCCTGACGAGGTCCAATCGCAACAATGATATATGACGGCCCAGAGTCTTGGCCCAATCCTAATTGGATCCATGCTTAGAATACCTTGGGAACTGTCTGCTTTATGAGTTGGGCCATCTCCCGAGTTAAGCTAAACTGGGTCTGACCCATTCTCTCACAACAGTTCATGACAAGGATTAGAATCCTAACCAAATTCCTCTTTTGACAAGATGCCGTATCTCACCCAAAGAGGGAAGCCTTAAGAGATAAAGGTAAAAATACCAATCTCTTCCTGAAAAGAGAGTTCTCCTACCAAGTAGGACTCCGAGTCCTACTAGGATTCAAGCCCTTGAGGTTCACCATATAAACTGAGGTCAATAGGACCACCCTGAAGCTATGGACTACGTACCTTCAAGCCTCCTCTCGCTTCGCTAAAGTTCCAATTGATACGCAAGAAGACACTCCACAAGTCCATCAAGGTTGTTAGTGGCTCTCTTCACAAGATTCTACCTTCAGTTGTAAATTTTATCGTTTACGCTACTAAAAACCCCTCAAAATCGCTACAGTTGTTTACCCTCAAAACCGCTACCATGAAACTCCCAAGCAGACCCTAAGTCAAAGATAGGCTGCAACCATTCAAACAAGATTTCGAATTTTAAATTTTGATTTTTTGGTTTCATGTAAATTGATTATTCTGCCCTTCTTTAGAAGTAAGTTTTGACCCTCACACCCTTCTTTAGAATGAAATTTACTAACGAGTCTAGCCTATGGGTGGGAAAATGGAATTTTGAAACTTTTTGGTTGGGAAATGTCATTAAGGCAAACCTTGGGTGGGAAAAAGTCGTTTACTCTTTGGGGGCATTTGGATCGGGGGTCTACAAGATAAGGGGGGTAATCTTCATTTATTGCAAGATTCCAGTGTTTGGTTTGCAAGTAATAAAATATTACTGGAATCTTTTATTGTAAATATTGTTTACTGTTGGTAATGTAGGGGGTAATTCAATACCCTCCCCCACCATTGGGATTAAAACATTACCAGGGTAATATGATTTTTCTACCCATTTTGCCCTTAATTAAAAACCATTTCAGACACAATTGGCCTCGAATGTCTACCAAATAATAATTACCTAGCCCCTTATATTTGAGAAATTAGCTAAAACACCCCAGCCACCAAAAAGTTTAAAAGTTAACAAAATACCCCAAGCCACCCAAGACCACCGCTGGTAGTGACTTACCACCGTTGGTCATTAGCGTCAGTCACCGTAATAGTGCACAACCGGTGGGATTTGGTCGGTCATGTGCCAGTAAGGCCTTTTATCCATGGCCGCAAATGACCAGATCTAGTATTTTCATGGCCGTGAAATGGCCATAGATCTGGCCTTTTTTGGCACCGGAAATGGCTTTGCCGGTGCATGATTGGCCATATATGACCAGTCGTGTGCCATTCTGCCAATTACTAGTGGCAGCCGACAATGGTGGTTGGCTGCCGACAATGGCTTGGGGTGGGTGGGAGTGATTTTGCTATGAATTAAAGTTTTATATGGCTGGGGTGTTTTAGCAAAATTTCAAATGTAGGAGGTTAAAAAGAAATGATTCAAAAAATAATAATAAAAAATACTATTATATTAATAGTTAAAAAGGAGGGCAGTTTAGTAATCTGTATAAAATACACACCCATTTATCCTCCCAACCAAACATATTATTCACAATTTATTCAAACCAACCAAACACTTTTTCTAAACATTCCCAATAATTTTCAAGGTGTTCTTTCTTTCCGTTAATATAATATCCCCCTATAATAAAACATTATAGGATCCAAATGCCCCCTTTGAAATAAATAAGTAACACATGGTAGTGCTCTTGGCTGATTCTGTAGCAATTTATCAAAGCCATAACAACAACAATGATGAAAATATAATGTATGTATTTAATTATGTTTGTGTTTATGTTGTTGAAAAATTGCTTCTTAGCCATGTATGAATATGATTATCCTAACACTAAACACTTACACTACCTACTGGCTGTTAATCTTTCTACATGCTTAGTTTTTTATAATTTTGGTTGGTTCTTAGATGATAACAATCTTTTTTTTTTTAATGATTCATGCAGTTTCCAAATTCAACAATGGAAGGAAGCCTTTTTATTTTTTCTTACTCAAATTGAAGTGATTTATTTTATTTGAAAAAAAAATGCTAATGTCTTTATATTTGTTGTGCGATAAAAATCCCCAAAATAGACCAACCAAAAAAGCCCAAACTAAGTAGAGAAACTGGGGCTCATCCTAGCGCAGAGTGAGCATAAAGCTTGAGAAGAAGAAATGTTTGGTGCCACTATCGACGTCTTGTCCCCCAACGGCGACGATCAACTCGATATCGCGATGACTACCAACTCTACACAACAATCCACCTTAATCGAGGACACCCTTGATCCACGCATGCGCAAGGATGAGCATCCCACTAGTCCAGTGAGGAACTACGCAAGGTGTTGGAGTAGGTGCCCTAGAGCCAATCAATTATTGTAGAAATGTCCATAGTCCCAGTATTATTCTGACCAAGGACACAGATAATACAATAAGACTATCATAGTGTTGAACAACCATGTTGAAAGGCAGTGACTGATCTCACTTGTCAAAGTTGTTCACCGATAACCTGATGCAACACATGGGTGCTTGCAGTAGGCAAGTTCACTAGACTAATTGACCAGAGGATTCCATATAGATGGTAACCCTAGTGTCTATGGAACAAATCCTTTAATGAATGGTGGTGCATGTGATCCTTAGACTTGAGATCACCGGAGCGCCTTGTGCACCAATTGGTATAGTTTAATACTA